ACTGAAAATGATAAAAGAAAGAATCTGAAATGAAATAGATCAGGATGGATGTAGTAGTGAAGCCAAAATATACCAGGAAATGATACCCTAACACATTCTTACGGCAAAACCAAATGGATAGTAGAGTGGAATGTTGCCACCTCCCTCTTCCCTGCTTCCTTATTATGTGCAGAATATCTATAGCTTATCTGTCATGCTTCGCAGAGAGGGAAAACATAAACCTAGACATACCACACAGATGCAACCTGTTGTTTCATGGTCCTTAACGATAAACCTTCAAAGGTTACTGCTGGTAAAAGTATTTGAAGGATCCCCAGAAACCATGTTCTATACCCTTTGACTACTTTTTAAAAAAATCCCAAATGGGAAATGGAATGCCAAGCATCATTATTATTTACAAAAATGCTGGTAAATCCATAGATATTTTGAGAAAATCAGAATAGTGTTTTGTTTGGAAACAAACACACTTTTCCAGAGTTAAAATCAGCTATAGGTGTATAGGTGCTAGACACCATCTTGGGGAGGCTCAGAGAAAATAGTTTTTTTTTTCCTGATAAATAAGATTTTCTGCTTCAACGTGTCCCTGAAGGCAGTCGTTTTATGACTAGAGAAGGCTCTCTTCTTGGGGCTCTATTTTGTGAAAATTTCCCCAAAATGAGCCCGTTGGCTAGAAATGATTGCCTATAGCTCTGCTTAATAGCCTATGAACACTAAATTGAATAAGCCTGCAAATGTAACTTTGGAGATTTATATAATTTGAAGACCTAAACAACTTAACTCTGACATCAAATTTGCATAGACTTCTAGACATGATTACAAGGGGTGAGGAGTCTATGTCTTTTAAACACAACACAAATGATTTCAATTAGTGGTTATTGTTGCATCTTTTTATATAGCCATTGGGTCAAAATGCATACATTAACTTTGAAATATATATTAAACAAGAGACAGAGAGTGAGAATAACATTAGGATTAAAATTCTGTACTCTTATTCAGGCAAAACACACAATATACGGACAAGAAAGAAAACCAAACTATTAAAAAACCTGCTCCATTTGCTGTTAATGAAAATAGTAAGTGTTGCACAGTTGATCTTGGTTTATTTCTCTTCTTTTATATAGAAATGCTCAGCTGAACACACTTCAAAACTTGTAGCTAATTTTTTGTTGAAGTTATTGGTAATTTATATTGCTTGATCTGGCATGGTCAATTTATCCAACTTTTCCCCCAACAAAAGCAGAGGACTGTTACATTCTTTTTGCACATATCTATGGTATATATGTTTCTTTATTCACTCTATTCACATGGAAAGAATATTCACTATTTATTATGACTTAAATGTGTCTAGTTTAATTTATTTAATTGTAGAATTAACTTAGAAAATTACAGTAATGCTTGAGTATGATTACACTAAAGCAAAAATCAAAAACTGAAAAATGGATTATAAATTGAAAACACAATTTAAGCCAGTGAAGTGTACCACAATTATACTAGAAAAATATGATGTTGATACTGATGCTGGATGTGCCAAGCCAATCATTTTTCTATTGGGCTAAAGCTCTTGAGTTTATGATGAATTAACAGGGTGGTTTTCTTCAGTGCATTTTTCTTTATTAATTGGACAGTTGGTGTAGAGGACAAAAAGTTAGATCACTTGGGTACTCAAACAGTCTGAACAGCTAAAAATCTGTTTTCTTATGCTATTCCTTTCAAAAGAAATATATCTTCTTCTAAATAATTTCATGAATCTTTCACTATTTCCGGGAGAGAGATTCAGTAAGATAATTTGCACTTATGAGGAAAGCTTTATGAGCAAAAAAAAAGTTTAAAAATCATAAGTTTGGCCAAGCAGACCTGTCTTAGGAATATGGAGTATAAAATAGAAGGTTGGTATAATAAATAAATAAGTAGGCAGAGAAATGATCATATAGGGTTTAAAGCACAGTACTGAACCAGTTGATAATCATTTTGCTTGTATTTAAACAGCAGAAAGATTATTTGCATATTTATAGATCCAATAGAATCTGTCTTAAAAATTTAATTAGTGGATGACTTCAACCATATTTAACAAATAATAGGTGTATTAATGAATATTACACACATTGTTTCCTACAATCAACAATTGTTTGCAGCATTGTTTATGACTTTGCTGGTATAATTATTGGCACTGTTTTTATAAACGATTTGTAACACCCTGCCGAAGTGTGTTTTTCATTATTAAACACAAACAGTAATGGGTGATAGTGCTTCATAGGAAACAAAAATATATGTTAAAAAGATGTGAAGAATGAGAAACGGTTAGATACCAGTGTATATTTGTAGCCAAACAAACAGCAGGAAGAATAGACATCAAGGCTATGGTATAATTCTAGGGTGGGGGAGGAAATCTTAAAAATCTAAATGAACTATCCAAAAGCAAAAATATACAGTATAGGGAAAAATACTAAGAAAATATTAATCTATGTTGAATTTATAATCTAGAGAATGGACTTAGATCAAGGCAAAGTAGAATTCATATGCATGTGCTCTATCTTTAAGGAGATAGTTTGAAGGTCCAGCAGAAGAGCCCAGTGATGTGAATGAAGTGCTTTCACCTTTCCTTTAAAAAAATATACAGAAGATTGTCAATGAAGTAGTTTTATTGCAGAAGATAGCTTACAAACTGTTTACGTTTCAGCAAGCTGCTTACCAAACACATATAAATTGAATGTGTCAGAGAAAGTTGCATCCAATGATATGTGAAGTTTTTCTTCTACTTAAAAAAAAATAACAACGTAGATAATTTGATAAAATGAAACAATTGAATTCATGCATCACTGAAAACAAGAAGATTTTTGTAGTACGCACAATTCTATCTTACAATAAATAACATACAGAAAATAAGCTTTTGATAGTCACGAACTAGAAGCTGTGAGTCTGAACATAAAGTATCACAGTAATTGTACAAACTCTCACAGCTTTCTTCCAAAATGTGGTCTTACACCTCTTTGGAATGAAATGCATACTTTCATTCCTATAGGACACTTCAACCATGACTTCATTTAAGTACAATTTACCATCGGTTCATAAACAAGCACCATGATACAAAAAACATGTTCAAGAGTAACCAGAACATTGTGTTTCTGAATGGAGAGCTCAAAATGATATAAAGCAGGCAACTGCCTTCAACAAGGATTTAAATAATTCTACTTTGCAAAAAGGCCGAGGAACTCCAGACTTGATCAGCATCCAAATGAAGTTGCATCCCAGACATATCATCTCACTGTTAAATTGGTTTCCTAAGGGGAAAATAAAGCATTTGCCACACCTCCTTCTCTTGCTTTTTACTGATGTTCTTCTTAAGAAACAATACTTTAAAAATTCTACTTGGGCTGTTTCATTTCTTTCCCCCCCAATTATTATATTTCACCATACATCTCTTTAAATTTTTAACTGGGTTGTGAGATGAACTTAGCCTATATATAAAAAGATTAGAACTAGAACATATGTTAATTGAACAAGGTACTTGCTCCCAGCAACTTCAAGAAATGAAATTAGATGCAATTATCAAATGTTCAACTTTGATGCTCCAAAATTGCAGGTCTACTTATTTCTTTTTTAGCCTGATTATTTTCATATATCAAGGCACTGACCTTATCGAATGTAGAATACACGGAATGATCTCCAGAAATATTATCTGTCTAAAGTGTAACATGTTTATTTTAGTAGACATATTAAATCAAAGCAATTCAACAATTTCATTAATTTTGCTTTGACGCTGGATTTAAAATATCTCAAAGACCAATGTGGGCTACAAAATTCTATATAAGGGGAGGTTTTAAAGACAGCAGTAGACATGGACTGGGTTCCCACATTGTACAAAGCCATGTAATTTCTTTAGATGTGGTGCAGTGTGCCGTATGAACCCATTTCATTATGATTTATTCCAGTCAAATGGACCACAAGTTAACATATAATGTGAAGCTAAGTCAATCATCTTTGTCAGTGTAAGAATGCAGTTGTTTTTAGTGGGTTTTAAAAAGAGAAAATGGCTATTATTGCATGCAAAATAATATTTAGATTTCTTCACAGTGTTTAGATACACGAGCATTCAATGGAGCCAACTTCACATTGCCGGTCGCTATCAGAGATGTCTACAGAGAAAGTCACTGGCCTCAAAATGGTGAGTACAATTGGACAACAAAAGCCTCACCACTTTTCAAAGTGCACTACATTTATCACACCAGGGTGAAAAAGGGTAGGGTTTGGACCATCTGGCCATTTTGAAACCAGTGGCTGTTATTATGGTTACTATAGATCTTGTCACTCTTAAAAGGGTAATTTGATTCAAATCTCAATTTCTTCAGATCAACTCCAACATTTTAACCACTACTATATCACATATATTTTTATTCTATGGTAACTCTAGTTAGGCTATGTTAATTGTGGATTTTCAATCATCAAAATGCAGTAGTAAGCCTGGGGAGGGGGAGATAAGGGTGCTCTTAATGGGGCAACTCCAGAAAAATTAGGCAAGGTTCGGTCACTGCTAATTTTTTTAAAAAAAAATTAAACTCAGTCCTATTCCAAATGTTGAAGGTTGCAGTTGGATTCTGTATACGGAGTAGGGAGGGAGCACCATCTTGTACTTGATCTTGGTGAACACAATGTTGGGCTGAGTTTACTGCTGTCATTAAAGAAATATCTCATTCATTTCAGGGGGAAATTGATTCCGCACACCTGGACTCAAACATTGTTTTGACTAATGGGATTGAAACAGAGACGTTGAGGACATTTAAGGAGAAATGTCAAGAATGGTAGAACTTAATTTTTCTGCCAAGGATCCCAGATGTTGGATTCACCTCACCCTGGCTGACCATCTCCTGACACAACAGCATCTGGAAAACTGTGAGATGATTATAATTTTATAGTTCTTCAAGCATCGTCATCTCAACACAGACTCTTGGAATAAGTTTAAATGATGAAGTGATTAGCATCTGAAGGGTTCTTTCCCCCCATACCATGGTCTTTAGCTGCTTCTCTCCCAGTGTATGCTGGCTGGAAATGAACCAGACACAAAAAACACTTTCCTGGATTTCAATCCATTTCTGTTTTTGACTACAGTGTTGACAAGGTATTTTGTCTGGACTATAGTTCCCAATCGGTTGATTCCCCAGCTTCTTTTCCTCTTCCAGAAATGCTGGGACATCAAAAACCAACTGCTTTCTATCCAGGGCATACCTTTTGAGAAATGGTGAAAATATGTGACAAACAGGGTTATGATTCTTTGCATTATTTAGGCTAGAAAGAGAAGATGGAACAACTCTTATTAATTTCACAAATGAATGCCCAATATCCCCCCATTGCTCTTTTGTTCCTAACAGATAAACCCAGAGATGCAAAGATGGGGTGGGGGGGATGTGCTCACCAGCCAGTTGGAATGAGGACGTTTAGGTAAGACAGAATACAGTGCAGCAAAATGATAGATGTTTCTATTTGACCAGAAATGGTGGGGAGATACTACTGTTGATGGGCAGCAAGCAAAGTCAGATAGAGGCTGCCTACCCAGCAGCATCGGGACAAGATGGAAATGACATCACCTGTTCTTGGTCTCATCAAAGGGTCGGTGGCCTGTCATACTGGATCAAGCAGAAGTGTGGGTCAAGGCTGGAAGTGTTTGGCTCATATAATGTATAAGCCACAGTTTCTGAAGAGGGATGATTATTCCCTTGTCATCCTTAGTTTTTAAGAATGGTTTAGGCATGCAAGAGCAAGGGAAACATTCTCAATTGGCAACCATCATATTTTCTATAACGTAACAATATCTAGAATTCAGCAGACAACTTGGTGCTCTCCTGATACCATGTTTCCCTGAAAATAAAACAGGGCCTTATTTTCTTTTGAAATCCCCCCCCCCCAAATAAGCACTTGGCCTTATTTGGGGGGAAGTCTTATTATTTTTGAGCTGAAGGAGGCGGCGAGCGTGGTCACCTCATGGCTGCTGCTGTGTTGCAATATTTTCAGGGAGGGCTTATTTTCGTGGGAGGGCTTATTTTAGCACATGTACTCAAAAGCCTGATTGGGCTTATTATCTGGGGAGGTCTTATTTTTGGGAAAACAGGATACTTTGCATTGTCCAAGTAGATTGATGAGAATTAAAGGTTCAGGCCATTGAACCCATTGCTGATCCCTGACCTAGAATGTTAAAAATCTGAGAGAGGGGCATAAACATATTCTACTTCTTACCTTGCACAAGAATGATAAAATGTTAAGAAATAATCCCTACTGTTTCAGATTTCTGCCTCTTCTTCTAGTTCTTGACTGCTACAGCTTTCACTGATTCATGAATAAAAATACTATAGAATTCTAAAAAATATCACTAGCTTCTATAAAAAAAGAGGAGATTCCATTTGGTAAAAGGTTAAGCAAGGGCTTAACTCATTTTCATTGAAATTAACATGTCCTTAAAATGATCAAATGTGGCCAAACCCATTTTTAAATCCAAGAAATTAATTGAAGAATGCTATGATTTTGCAGACTAGATTGAATTTCTCTTTGTGTATCTAAAAAAGTGAAACAAGAAAGCTTTTTTTCCAACTTGAGGGTACTTGAAATTCACTATTTTAAAAAAATGTTGATAAATGCTTTAGATTTTATTATAAACAAAAAATGAATTAATTTGAAGTTATTGTTTTTCCCTGATAAATATTTTTTTCTTGCCACGTTGGTTTTCATCCCTGTGTCTAGCTTTTATTTCTTAATTGTGTAATCACTACTTTTTTTCTATCCGTTGGTGAAGTTTCTTTTTATTTCACCATTAAAAATTAATTTAATACCTGTTTAAAAATCTTCTTACCATCATAGGAAAGTATATGTTTCAGATAAATGGAATGTTTAAGTGATCCCACTTCTTTGATCAGGAGATCTAACCTAATTTGGAAACATCTGGGCATGGGGATGTCTGGGTTGATCAGTCTAGACTAGCAATGTGTGTGGGCCAGATGCAGAATTTGGCTGCACTTTCTGCTGAAATGCGTGCAGCTGTTTTGCCATCAAAATGCTGAAGACTTAGTGTGTGTGAGAGAGAAAGTGTGTCTGAGTCTATATGCTCATTCCCTCTCTCTGTTCATTTATTTACACTGAATTAAAAATAACAAGAAGTCCGTCAACACTACCAAATCTCCTGGATTTTGTTGTGGCAAGGAAAGGTGAGAGAAGCCAGTTTTGTTCTTATTTCGTTAATCAACTGCACACACTTAGGAAACTTTTCAGAGGAAATGGCAGATGCTTAAGAAAATAAGCCATAAAATATTGAACTACTCCAGGCAGAGAAAACAGAGATGGTGATCATTTCAGCAGGATCAGCTGAAGCCAAATATTTTAAGCAATAGCATATCCACTATCCGCTGTCTTCTGGGAAAAGGCTGTGCGTGAACTCACTGCTTCAGGCCAGCTGCTTGGGATCTCAGCCAGACTGGACACTCTGAGCAGTAATGCTGCTGTTTTTCTTGAGAACTGAAAAGGCACATTAAGGCAAAGAAAATAGAGAAATTCTCTCTCTCTCCCTCTTATTATTTACCATGTGTATGTTATCACCTTACCTTCAATGACAGAGTAATAGAATAGGAATGGCCCTTGGAGGTCTTCTAGTCCAACCCGCTGCTCAGGCAAGAGACCCTATACCCGTGATGGCTAATTTATGACATCAGAGATGGGTTCCTACCGGTTTGGCCCGGTTCGGCCAAGTAGGTAGTAATTCAGCTTGCCAAGACCCTGAACCAGTTCTTGATTTTTTTTTAGTCCTGTGCATACAGTAGTGTGCATCAAACAAGCATGCAGCATGCCCCTGAGTGAACCAGCAGTAGCTGGAACCCACCCCTGCATGGCATGTATACCCAAAATGGCACATGGAGCCATGTTGCCTGGCACGCGCCCCGTTGCCCATTCCTCTTCTGGGTTTCTGGCGTGCATACACTCAGCTGGTCTTTGCATGTGCAGCAGTGCTGGAAACTGGAAGAGCTCGCGGGCTGTTCGGCACATGTGCATGCATAGCAGTAACTGGAAGACTTGCTGAAACCAGAAGTTCATTTGCTGGCGCGTGCATGCCCATAGGCATTTTCCCTTCTTTGTTGTGGCCCACTCAGTGCCAAAAAGGTTCACCATCACTGCCCTATACGATTTGAGAAAAATAGCCATCCCATCTCTTCTTAAAAACCCCCAGGGATGGAGCACTGGCAACTGCTTCAATGCTGGAAAAAGGCATTTGTATATTTTCAGAGAAAAACAAAGAATCAAAGAATTCAGCAAAATTATCCTTTGGCCATGTTTTAGTGCAGGGACTGCCAATGCCATCACATAATCAGGCCTGCGCACTCCCTAACATCCCAGAAATCTAAAATCTCATGAGGTCACCAGCATCTCATGTGAGATCTCACAATCAAATTCCAAACTTTTCCAACGTTTCTGAAAGATCCTGCAAGGTGACAACACTCTCATAGGATATCTCATTGCAAAACCATGGTGGTTTTAAACTCTTACTGCTTTTGAGAGAGATGGAGGTATGTGGACGGTTATGAATGGCAAGTAGTCAGCCAGGGTTGGAATAATGACTTCTCAATTTTCCTAACAACCTGAGCTCAAAGCACCTCAGGTTAACTGTGAAATATACCTCCATAGAAAACATTTTGGAAACAATTTGATTACCACACCAATATGTAACATCTCAAACAGAGGTTACAATCAAATAAACTAAAGCCAATAATTCAATAAACTCACACCATTCATTCAATACAGCCAGTATTCATTTTCATACTTATGCAGTCCATAAGACCTGAATACAGAAGTAGGATCAAAACTGACAGGGAGAAAGGCCATTGCTAAGTGCTCTTTTTATTTTATTTTGCATTGATTTAAACATATTTTGGAATCATGGACTCAGAAAAATGTCCATTCAACAAGGGAAGCCTCTGGACATTTTCTGATTTCTTCAGGGGTATAAATAGTTCATTTGTTGTTAATGCTGAGGTAAAATCTGTTTTCTGGTTTCCTCTATAAAAAAAGCTGCTGTGTTTCTGCCTCATTTATAATTTGATTTTGATAGGGGTATATGTATGTGGGGGGGGGGAGGAGTTCAAGCCCAGACTTTCTCCTGCATGGATAATCCTGCAAGACAGCAAGTGGGTGGGTGGGCTTCTTTGCTCAGCCCAGCCCAGAACGCTTCCCTTTTCTAAGGGTCTGGGCTCCCCGAAAAGGCACTCAAGCCTCCATCTTGGAAGGAA